AAAAAAAAAAAAAATCTTCGAACACTGAACACGAGAACAGGCAAGTACCTGTGAAGCGACCTAATTCCTTGGTGAACTTAAAAGTCTGAAGGGCCAAGTCGCGAGTCGGGGAAAGAATAAGAGCCCTAACTCCGGCCTGGGACACATGATGCTGGAGCTTCTGGAGCATGGGGATGAGGAACGCCGCCGTCTTTCCGGACCCAGTGCGGGCCATGGCGACGACGTCGTAACCCGATAGGATTAACGGCATGGTCTTACGCTGGATAGGCGTCGGAACTCTGTATCCCTTCTTCTTGACGCCATTGTAGACATTGGGGCTCAATCCCAGCGACTCGAAACCGCCGGATTTCGATTTCTTCGCTTGTTTCTGCTTCTTCGCCAGATCAGCTTTCGAGACAGCGAGTATTTTGCCGCCATTAGCCATTGCGGACGAGGGAAGCTTCTCCGGCGCCCCTTGTAAGGGAAATGAAAAATAGGGATTTTGTGGGTGGTTTTAGGGTTTATGTCTTTATGATAAAATAAATAAATTGTAACCCGAAAAGACCGAATTAGTTGAATCGGGTAATGGTTTGGTCCAATTAAGTTGAGTGGTAGCTAAGACCATTTTTATCCACAACTGGGCATGTTAAACGGCTAGCCCTAGCAGTTTCGGCTAAACGGTCCGTGTTTAGAAGGTCCCGATTTAAAAGCTACCACCAATCAAAGGACCTAATTCTAATTTTAGTGGGCCTCGCGTTATACGGGCTATAATAATAATAATAATATATAAAATAAAAAAATAAAAAATATATAAAAAAAATTACAATGGTTAGTTAACAATTGTTTTCAACGGTTTTTTAGTGTTTACTGCTCTATTGTACAATTACACTTCATATGTGTACACACATTACAAACTCTTAAATAACATATTTTTTCTTAAGAAAAAAAAAGCAGTTGAACTACTACTAATAATTACCATTTTAGTACTATTTTGTACTTTTAAAAAGTTCGAGTTTATTTGATAAGCTCTTTAGGTAGCTTTTGAAATAAGTTAGTTTAATTTTTTATTCCAATAGCTTATCAGATAATTTTATCAAACTCTTTCATCATATAAGTTGACTTTTCTGCTAAGTCATAAGCTATAAACTATAAGCTCAAAAATTATTGATAAGTTATAAGCTAACTTATCAGCTAGTTTATCAACTAGTTTACAAAATATACCCTTAGGCCTAGTTTACTAGCAAAGAAAGGATTAGACAAAATAATTCATCTAAATTGCCACGTCAGATTATATCCCTTATTTACTAAGCATGATAGTGTTTTAGGCCAATCCTATCTCTTTTTACCAGCCATGATAAAACTCTTTTGTCGTTAAAAACTTAAAATTGATGTGTACCCAAAGTTACAAATTTACCCTTTTTTCCAAGAGCAGATATATGAACGGATCTCAACAATTTGCAAGAACATTGTCGAAAATTATAAGAACCCTAATATCTTGAACCCGAGAAGCTCGATCCAAATAAGCTTCCTAGAACGACACTGCAGCAGCCACGGTCGCGAGCTTCGTCGTCCCTGCAACCCTAAAAGCTCGATCCAAAGAAGCCTCCTTTGACGACACTACAGCAGCCACGATCGCGAGCTTCGTGGAAGTGCAGTCGGTCGAATCGCAGTCGGTCGAATCGACTGGAAGTGCAGTCAATAATTTTCAGGTGGAAGTGCAGTCAGTCGAATCGCATCAAGTGGAACCAATCGAAAATTCAATTTCAGTTGCGAAAAGCACGATAATTTCCCGAGGTACAACTCAATTTCCATGTCAATGGGTTATGTGATTCGAAGTTTACAACTTTCTTTTCCGTGTTTCCCTTTGTAAAATTGCCATTAAAATTTCATATCTTCAATCTGGTTTCATTCGTGATTATATTTTTGTGGTTGAGGTTGGGGCAAAAGGGGGGAAGAACTCGTAGCTTCAGTTTGACGAGAGCCAGGTTCCTCTTCCACACCCTATTATTTAATCCAGGTTCCTCTTCCATTTTCATCTAATACTTGAAGGTAAAATGTGATGAGTTCATTAATCCAATTATGGACGATAATAAACAAGCTCTCTGTTTATGGCCACTAATGAAAGAAGCTCTCTGTTTATATAATGAAACTTATATAAACGGCATGCTTATGAGATGGAATTGAAGAGATAATTACCCTATTGGTTGTTCAGAGATTTGGCCACTTCCTTTCTCTGTTTTGTTGTTGCATTTATCATGCTCATTACCTTTAATTTCATGAAGTCTATTATTATTATTTTTATGTGGCCTATTGAATGGCTATTGTTGGATATAGCAAATATCAATTGTTATGGTAGGTGTTTTTGCTTGGTTGATGGATTAAGAACACATATGGTATGTGTTTCTCTATTAGTTGGCCACTTTCGCTCTCTGTTGGGCACTTTATTCGTTGTTTGTTTTGTGTTGGCCACTTTCTTTCTCTGTCTTTTCTTGTTTTTAATCATATGGTATTTGTGTTTAACACTAATGTTGTTGTGTTTTTTTTTGCTTGTTTGTTGATGTGTATCAAATCTATGATGCTTCTTGTTTGTTTTTTGGCCCATTCATTGTTTATATTTGTCGAATTGTTCAAAGTGATTTAGATATCTGTTTTTATGAAGGCTGAAATGACTTTTCAGTAATGAATATCTACAGAGGGCTGAAATGACTATGCTGCATTGTCATTCCACAATAGGTAAGACATGTTAATTGCCTAACTTAGGAAAAAATTAATAGATGCAAATTGTATGGTTTTTTCTTAGCGACACAGACTTCTTTTGATGTTAATAGATAAGCCATGTTAATTGCCTAACTTATGAAATGACTAAGTGGCTTATTGTTGTGTATTTTGTATGCAACTAGTATGCTTCTTTTGGCATGTCTGGGTATCTATTACTTGTTAGCCTTCCGTTCAGGGCCTTATCTGGATAAAACTTACTAAGAACAGCTTGTGTTTTTGTTTTTCCAGGTACAGGACGACAATGAGCTCTTCAAGTTCAACAAGGAGAGAAGCCGGTGTTTTTTGTTTTTGTGGTACGGTTGCTCGTCTACAAACTTCATGGACCCCTGCCAACCCAAGGAGGAGGTACGTGGATTGTAGCGAAAATGGTTGTACCTCTTGGAATTGGTTTGACCCTCCGATGTGTGCAAGATCAAAAGAAATAATCCCCGGTTTGTTGCGTAAAATAAATCGGTTAGAAGCTGAAACAACTCGCCAAAATGTCGAATGTGAAAGTGAACTTCAAGAGAAGGAGATGTACAAGAAAAAGATGAAGAAACTAGAAAAAGATATTCATCAACTGAAGAAGAAGAAGAATAGATTTTTACTGATTTTACTTTTAATCTCAATTGTGTGGATGTATATCATGAAATAAGTATATTGCATGTGACTTTGTATGTCCTTTAGTATGGAACACCATTTTGTAACGCAACCATGGTTTAAACGAATATTTTGTTGTTTTGTACTATTTTTTTTTTCCTTTTTGCTGTGAATAGTTGTCAGAAGAATTGACATTCAACTGATTAATATGGTCAAAAGATTGAGAATTGATTTAATGTGCTATGACAACACGTTGCAGGTCTACATTAAGGCTGAAGATTTTCTGCAATATTGAGTAGATTGGATTACATAGCCTGACAACCAACTTTACCATGTGTACACGTTAGTCAATGTAGTATGATTTTCACATATTTATACACTCACTCCACAACAAAGACCTCCACCAACTTAGAAGGTTGTAGAAAGATTAGTTTTGTTACAAAAACCAAAAAAAANNNAAAAAAAAAAAAAAAAAAAACACTTAGCTTAATTGAAAAAATTGTGATGGCTCCCAACTTTGGTGTAGTGCAGGCCGACTATATGTACGACCTCCATTGGACACCAAAGATGGATGAATTTTTAATCAACTGTTTGCTAGACGAGAAGTTGTGTGGTCACTTTGTTCCTTTTGCAGCTAACAATGACTCCATCGCGGATACTACGAATGCAATAAATTTGTATTTTAAAAAGAGTTTCAACACAGATTACATCAACAGTCGTGTTGGTGTTTTAGCTAAACGACATGAAGTTTTCACATCCCTTAAACACAAGGATGGTGTGCAATACGTTGACGGCCAAAACAAGTACCATTGTTCGGACAACACTTGGTATGAATTGCTGAAGGTGAGTTTTATCAATTTTTTGTGATTTGCTCTATTATATCATTGTTAGCGTTGCAAAGTAAAATACATATTTTTTTTTGTTTTTTTTATGTAGTGGGATGAATTTTCGGTAGCGTACATTAATGAAGGTGATCCCCAACATGACAAAATTGTCGCATTGTTTCGAGTTGAGCCACCGTACATACCTCCTTTCGAGTATCATATTTTGTCTGACAGTGACAATGAACTCGATAGGAATGCAAAAGATGGCCGCAACAAAGGTGTAAAATTATAGATGTGGAAGAGTATACCCCAAAGCATGGTCGTGCGAGTTCAAAGGACATCCCACGTAAACAACGGCCACCGCGTCTGGGCTTTTTTATGGGTATGAGTTCACT